GAGCGATTGCCCCACATAGCAATGATTGTCCCACATCCTGCCTGCATAGCCTGGAGACTCAATCTAGAGCCAGCCAGGCTATTTCCACACCATTGATTCTGTCATCTATACAAATGATGGATATCCTCCTAACAAGCAGGTTTGGATGCTGAACTGTCCATCCTCACAAAAAGAACAATATCCCTTTAAAATGAGCCTGTAGATAACATATTTTAATGCACAATTTGGGATATTGAATAAATAAAATGTTGGAAGTGCCATATAATATGGTAAAAAGTGGTTTTAAAAGCAATTGATGATTTGTTATGGGATATGATTGGGTGACTAACTGACTAGTAAAGCAAAGCGCATCATCACAGGTGTTGCTTTTGTTTGTTCTTAGTTGCGTAGGCAAAATCTGTCAACAAAACACATTAAATGACATTTAAAATTTAAATAAATAACCAGTCAAATAAACCAATCAGATGTAGGCTAATTTTGTATTGCTTGTGTTGTCTGCAAGTGCAAACCATTAATTATGTGTAAATATAGCTGTAAAGGCTTTACTAGCTCATTTATTGGTGGTAATTTGCTGTCATTTTTTAAGAAAGTTATGAAGTTGTGTTCCTTTTTTTTGAAAAGCGAAACCTTTGCACATTTAAGAAATGTATAGTTGGTACATTTATCCTGCCGAAAAACAACAAGCCACATTGGTTGCATACGAAACTCGCCTACTACTACATTTATATTTGAATTTACTTCTTGACTGTATGTTCTATACTGTATGCATGTGAGCTGTATGAATGGAACTCTGACGTACTACATCTACTATTTTGTTATGTTCACGTGACCTACCTGTGCCAGTTGCGTTGATTTATTCCCATTCATGAATTCTCTCGTGGTGCATCGTGGCAATCTGGCCGGAAGTAGTACAGATGGTAACACTTTAATACGTTCCCTCTGCCACCATGCTTGCCGACGCCGCTACGGTAGTAAATGTGCCTGCAGCTTTTGACCGCTGGGTGTCGATGTAACCATGGACTAAAACATCAACACGGTGATGTATGTGTATTGTATGCAAAGGTTCTGTATGTGATGTGTTCAATTAAATATAATTTTTCTTTGGTTGTTTTGGTTTCCTTAGTAATGAACGTGCTTTTACGCTATACTGTATGTTTTAGAAAAGATGTCTACAATACACATTAAGAAGCATAGCCCTAGGCTGCAAATATTAAGCAAAAATAAGTAAATAAATTGTGTTGAGGTCGTCTGGGTACTTTATGCATATTGTTTTTTGAATTCTATGAATCCAGACATACCACTCGGCTTGAATATCGGTTAGCTTACTATATAGTATGGAAGAATGCTATTCGGATGCAGCCATGCAATTGTGTGAATTTGGTGCGGCACACTCTGTTTATCTGTCCAATACGAGTCAGGTGTGACACACTAGTGTGTTTTAGTTTTAAAATGCAAAAACATTTGATAACAGAGGCACGGCTTTCCACATTTGCTCTCTGATTGGTCTTTAGGACAATTGTATATCCCTCTCTGATTCTTCAATCTTTCTCATATAAAATGTCACATATTATCCATTTAGCTTTACAGTGTGGATGTAGATCATTTTCTGAAACGCAATAAAAATACCAGTCTAAAGGGGGATCTTTTTTTTTTCTTTTTCTAAAATGTCATATTAAAACAAAAACGCTAGTGTGCCACATGCACCTGACTCTCATTGGTCAGATAAACAGAGAGCTCAGACCCAACTTCATGCCTTTGGATGACATAGTTGTTGTTGTTGTTGTTGTTGTTGTTGTTGTTGTTGTTGTTGTTGTTGTTGTGGTGGTGGTGTTGTTGTTGTTGTGCAGGTCAATCATACTAAGCATACACAAGCATACACTAAGCAGCACCTAAGAGGTATTGTTTGGGAAACCTGTTTGAAAGCAGTTTTTTGAATCAAACACATTTGATTTATGTTGGATTTGGACCAACATGCATTCTATTTAGTGTTTGTATTAAACATAATTTATTTGTTTCTCTATCTTCAAATGATTCTCACATGATTGTCTTACACATCAGGAATCAGTGCAAGATAACAAACTTTTGTCATTGTGTGTCGTCTCTGTTAATATGTAGAAAAGTTTTTGTTATCATATATTAAAGTTGTTGTCATTACAGTATATTGAAAAAAAAGAGCTGCAATAGTTTCTCGTTACATTTTTTACTTTTCAGCTTCCATGATTCTAAACTTTTGCAATGCAATTTTTCTGATCTCCCACATTTTGATTTCATTAAGGTTTTTGTGCTTTCGTTCATTCATTCATTCATTCATTCATTCATTCATTCATTCATTCATTCATTCATTCATTTTCTTTATGCCTTAGTCTCTTTTATTAATCTGTGCTCGCCACAGCAGAATGAACCGTCAACTTATCCAGCATATGTTTTACGCAGCGGACGCCAATTTAGCTCATGCAATTCACCTATAGCGCATGTCTTTGGACTGTGGGTGATGCTGGAACACCCAGAGGAAATCCTTGCGAACACAAGGAGAACATGCACAGAACTCCACACACAAAATACCAACTGACCAAGCCGGAGTTTGAACCAGCGACCTTCTTGCTGTGAGGTGATCGTGCTACCCACTGCGCCACCGTGACACCCTGTTTTTGTGTTTTCATCAAATGTATTCATTTTAATTATATTAAATATTAATATATTACATTTCTTCATATCATAATTCATTCTTGCACTGTAAAAAATGCTGGGTTCCACACAATTCATTCATGTTGTCCCAACATAAATTAAGTTAACTTAACACTTTTAACAAATTTACGTTCATCAAACTTAAAAAAATTCATGTTTTCCCAATTAAATCTCAAATTCATTTCAGATAAGTAGTTTAAACGCTTTGCAAAAAAAAAAAAATGAGTGTAGGTTTATCATTTCAAATTTAGTTATCTAAATGTGTCGTTCATGAGTTAGGGTACTTCGAATTAGCTTTAATTTGTCAATTTTTCATTTTAATTTCAGTTTTATTACGGCTGTTGTGGGATTTTGGAAGTCAATGGAGCAAAAAGTGTAGCGATGAAGTAAAATTTGACCTCTCAGGTTCCATTTTCCATTTTAACTGATTTGCTCCAGTTTGCTATGAGGTGACAGTTTCGTTCTTTTTGAATATTGCTACTTTGGAAGGAAACTTTTTAAAATATTTTATTTGTTACTTTTATTATTCAATGCCTTTTTAGATATTAAGTCACGGTCACACATTTTGGAAGCTTTAGAAGGTTGTAGTGTTAAACTTTGCAGCTATAGGGATGCAACAATTAACCGATTTCACTATTAACGGCGCTTTAATTTGTCATGGTTAATAAATAGGCTTCTGAACACTACGTTTCTGCACAGAACAAAATTGCTGCAATACAATAAAGTTATGCCAACTGTGCAATAATTTAAAGTTCCAAGCTTGTATACCGAGGCTAATACTGGATTAACTATGGCTGAGGCTATTAACTAAGCGCTGTTCACTTATCGCATTTTTTTGCATGAGCAAGTTTGTTATTTCTAATGGAGGCACGCTGCTTGCACACGCATATTGAGAGAGACCTGCACGCTCTCAAGCTTTTCATACTGATCTAGTTGAAAAAATGCTGCGAGTCACAGATTTCGATCAGACTGGATTTATACTTTGCATAGAATATACACATTTCTACTTCAAAGAGAAAAAACACAAAATGAAAAATAACAAACAACTTTTAGTAATATTGTTGATCAAAAGTGCCTTTCAGACAGGGGTTTAGCAGCCTTTTGACTACATTTCTTTAAAAGGGAAATACTAATATGCTAGACAAATAATATTTTTATTTATTCTTTTGTATATTTATTTATTCATTGTTTTGTCCTTTATTTTAATTTTTTTTGGGGGGGGTTACCTTTATTAGATAGAAAGGAGACAGAATAGACAGGAAAGCATGGGGAGCAGAGAAATAGGGGAAGGATTGGCATAGGACTAATCAAACTCGGGTCGCCGCGGAGTGCATGTGTCGACGCACTAACCACTACACCACTGGCGCTGACCTGTCATTTATTTTTAGTGTAAAATTATAAATTATGTTTAATTGCCAACATCTTTTTTCACTTATTTTTAAGTCCAAAGAGAAATTAACAATTGTTTGGTTTTTTTTATTTATGTTTTGTGTAGTATTAATTGGTTAGTGAGCAGCAATAAAAAATATTTTAAAATATAAAGAGTTTTCTTGTGATTTTCTAAACTATTAGCGTTTTGACATTAATGAATGCATAATCATCGTCATAACTGCGAAACTGTGATTATGCCTCAGACTATAATCGTACAACCACAATCTATAATCGTTGAATCCCTATTTGCAGCATTAAAAAAAAGGGTTTACTTGTGTTCATGAATTGTCAAGTCAGAATTCACCAGGCTTGAACTTTTGGAACGGCGCAATATTTTTGATCCCCAACATTTTGATTGGATTAAGGTCGTTATGCTTTTGTCATTTTTATTCTTTTTGGTTACATTAAATATTTTATTGAATGTCTTTATATTATAGTTCTTTCTTAGATTTAACATTTCAAATATAGTTTTAGTTTTGTATATTGAGTTAGAATTAGAGTTTTCATTTTAATTTCAGTTTTGTTAGGCTGTTCTGGCATTTCGGTAACATTCAATGGAACAAAGAGTGTAGCAATACTAAATGATTTTCGAATAAAATGAATACTTCAAAATTTCATGTAATTTATGGTTTAGTTGAAAATGTGACAAATTCGGAATTTTAATGAAATATTTTCACCAAATTCCCAATGTTAAACTCATGTGGGCTGAGAGATTTTTGGATGAGGAGATGGATCTGTGTTGCATGTGTTAGTTTGAGGGTCTTCACCTCCGGGGACCATCAGCTAATCTTGATTCTTTATGGCGGTGCTGCATTTGGCTTGGCTGATAATGCTTGCTTTACAGGTCTGCATTGATTTGAAATCTGTTTTATTCTGACCCTCAGGGAATCTCCGCAGCCATCCTTTCTAAGTGCACAAGAGACGAAGGATTTATACCTGTCAATAAAAACCTTTGGTAAGTGCTTCCTGACCCTCTAAATCCAGCCACTGTTTTCGCCTTCCACCAAAAGAAGAGATGAGCCTCCAGAAGACACAAATCAGAGGCTGCTAAAACACGCGTTTAGGTACCTCTAACGACAGGCCGTCCTGTAAATAATCGGCCCCACTGGCACAGGAGTGAGACGCGGCGGGTGATGCATCCACTGTCCAACCAGATCACTCTTCTTTACAGCCAAGATGGAGTGAGCCGTTTTTATTTGGCCAACCGTATATATCTTGCCAACCGCGCTGGCTTATCTCATCCGCCTGTTGTGAAATCGAGCAGGATGAGGTCAGCCCTACATCTTCAGGCTGCTGCACATTAAATTATTTGTCATCTAACACCTAATAAATAATGGCATGTAACAGAAATGTTCAACACACACCCGCTCAGTCATGCTGGATGTCTTTTAGTGCAAACAAATGTTTTGCTTAAAGCTTATTACATTTTTTAAATAGTTTGCTAATGGGCTAAGAAAAAGAAATTGCAAATTTATAAATATTTATTTTATTTATTTATTCATTCAATGGAGTAAGAAATTTGAATAAATGAATGAATGAATGAATGAATGAATTTGCTAGTAAATTTGAATACATGTAAAAAGAAAATTAGTTTGTTTGCTTGCTAGTAAGGTGAGAAACAGTTATCAACAAAACCTAGATACTAAAAATGTTAAATACATTTTTGTTTTACATTACATTATTATACTTTTAATTTCATCTTCATTTTAGTTGAAGTTTTAGTAATTGTTTTAAGTTTTGTTGTTTTCATCAGTTGTAGTTCATTTGTTTTGTTACATTTATATTTTTATTATTATATGACAGTGATTTTACTTGTTAATAATACAAAAAGTACAAAAGTAGCAAACGCATTGCTTTAATCCTTCATTCATCTGTATATATGGCATGTATAGACCATTTCAATGTGGTCATGTGATTGGCCCATGAACATTTCCTGCTTGTTATCAAACTATTTCATAACTAACAAGAGGCAATTCAATCATAACTTAATGTTAAAACGGCTTTCATAACATTATTTATCATTATCAATATGTGGCTCTTTTTGGATTCTCTTAAGCTATAGAAATTAAAAATGTAAAACAGGAAATACGTTGAGACTATTGTTTTTGTTTACATCCCTCAAAATGGTCTATAGCTCTGGGGTCAGGAAATTTTCCTAAGATAACGTTATACTACTTTTCTTTTTTAAAGGTTAATGAAGGTTATGCAGTACGTTGTTAATTTCAGAGCTCTTCTATTCATACAAAAAAAGAAGAAAAAAAACCTTCAAGTTTCAAGTCAAGAGGTCAAACCTTAGCCTGGTCAGAAAAAGTAATGCAAAAGTAACTCAAAAGCAACATAATGCATTACTTACCATAAAACAACTAGTTGCTTTGTTGTGGTGTAACTCAATATTGTAATGCATTACTTTCAAAAGTAACTTTCCCCAACACTGTTTAGTTTCTGTTTTAGTTTAAAGAACTGTTGTTTGTTACAGTATATGTGTAATTAATTTCAGTTTAGTTCTAGTAATTTTAGTAATTCACCTCAATCTTATTTTATTTCAGAAAGTGTTTTAAGTATTTCATGTAATATTTATTTTCTAGTTAAATTTATTTTAATGGGCTTTTCATATTTCTGGGTTTCTCTGTATCGGAAGTCATCATAGTTGGGTAAACTTAGAGTGCAGTAAATGGGAGAGTGCAACAAAACTTTTTTTACAATTCTATTTGCTTAAATAAAGAAAGAAAAACTCCACGATGGTGTTATCGAGACCTTCAGAGAAAGGAAAAAAATTGTGTGAGCCTGATAACAACAGAATAAAGGGAGAACAACGTCAAATTTACTGTCCTTCCCTATAAATGCTGCATTTAAAACACCTCGCACAAGCAGTAATTCACTTTTTGTAATTTGATGCAAAGATAATATAATACATATGTTATTACACATGTACATACATTTTTTTATCAAAATATTAAAAACTTTTCATTTAAGATTATGATGACCATTAAATGTCTTGTGAAATAGGTCCATTAAAGTAAGTTCATTTTGAAATCTTTGGTTTTAGTTAACAACACCAGTAACACTGTATTATGGTTAATTAACCCTTTAACTTTTCCACCAATTTCTGATCTGACAAGCAAATTTTGTTTTTAGTTTTAATGATAACCCATTGACAAAAGGTCAACCAGACGATTATGATGCCAGTTAAAAGCTTAAACTAGATATAAGGAAGATATAAACACAGATTCTTTGCATCCCTAATGTTTTCTCTATTAAATTTGACCTTGCCTCGTCTTTGCTGAAGTATGTGCTCTGTGACCCCACTCTGCAGGCTGTTCAAGTACAGTCATACACATGCTCCACTTTTAATGGCCAGTTCATCATGCCAGCTTATTGAGCCCCCGGGTATGTCCGTCTTCATCCCCAAAAGTAATTAACTCCCAGCCAAGAGTCTTTTTTGGCTCGACTTCAGCTGACATAAACGATGCTCTGGGATGCAGCCATTTTGCATTAGATAAAAATCCGTCCTGGCACTTAGAAACGCAGAGCCACATGACTTATTGACATGGTTGTACTGAGCAGGTGCCAAGGCTTCACTTTGGATGCTTCTGTTTCTTATTGGCTTACTTGAAGCACAGAAACTACTATGCGTCCATCCATTATTTAGTCCCTGGTTCTGCACTGTGTTGTTCTTACTGTTACAAGAAATGTTTGGCAAAGTTCTTCAATAGCGCATTGCAGCTTGACGTAGCAGTACACACACATGATCTGAAAGTGTTTCTTTTAATTTATGAATTGATACTGATATAACACAATTTTTCTATCTGTTTTTAGGTCTCTGTCGTTTGTGACTTGCATGGCCTGCATGTCGTTTTTGCTGCTTGCTGTGATGTATTTCATCATAGATGTTAAGAAATGGTGGGGCGGACAACCTTTCATTTTTCCTGGTATGAGAAGTCACTTGGTTTACAGCACTATTTTCTTAGTCAATCAGATACAGAAAAGCTTACTGTAGTTTGAGACTGATTTGAGATGTAAATTTCTAGTAAAAAACATTATATAATGTTAACTTTTCGATAACACTTTACAATAACTTTCATTAGTTAATGCATTTACTAACATGAACTAATCATGAACAACACATGTACAGCATTTATTAATCATAATTAAACATTTACTAATGTATTATTAACAACCAAGTCCATGCTTGTTACCATTTGTTAATGCACCATGAGTTAAAATGAACTAACAATGAACAACTGTATTTTCATTAACTAACATTAACTAACATGAACGAATACAGTACTAAATGTATTATTCATTGTTTGTTCATGTTAGTAAATGCAATAATTAACATTAACTAATGAACCTTATTGTAAAGTGTGACCAACTTTTCTTTGGACTGAAAGTGAATACACTTAATTTTCAAGATTTTTGCAGGTTCTCTAAGTTAAATTTCAGACATTTTAAGACCTTTTTAAGACCATTATAAATGAAATTTATTTCATTGACTTGTACAGGGCAAACCGAAAGATTTTTTGTAGTGGCCAGTGGAAAATTTATTTTTTTAGTTATATCTTAGCCACATATTTTAAATAATGTGTTAAAATACAGGGAGAACCTTTAAACAAATGTTATTGTTCGGGTGTAAGGAAGATAATTAAACCATATTGGTAAATAGAGTTAATTAATTTTACTTTCATTAAACTTTTTTTATTGTCGGTTGTAGCGATTGGGTAACTTTATATGGACAAAGGAAAATTAAGACCTGTTCAAAAGTATTTAAGTCATACAACACCATATTTCAGAGGGTTTAAGACTCTTTAAGGCCTAAATTTTAGTTTTTGAAATTTGAGACCCCGCGGACACCCTGATGGTCCCTTTTAGACATTCTATGGACTTACTTTGCTGCTACAAGTTAACAAGTAGTAATTATATCTTTAAAAAATTACTTTTAATAAAATGCTAAACAAGCAAAAATATGCAAGTTAAAGTAAGATTCTTGGTTGGGGCTAAAAAATAAATAAAGGGATAGTTTACACACTGTAAAAAAAAATCTCCTCACCATTTACTCATACTCAAGTGGTTCTAATCTTTTATGATTTTTTTTCTTCAGTTGAACACAAAACAAGAAAATCTGAAGAATGTTGTGGGAAAAGCATCCATTTGCATTCATAGTAGAAACAACAAAGTACTATGGAGACCAATAACTGTTTTTTCCAATATTCCTTAATATATCTACTTTTGTGTTCAACAGAAGAATGAAAATCATGGACGATGAGTAAATGATGACAGAACAATCATTTTGGGGTGAACTATAACTTTAAGATGATGTATTAAATGAAGACTGCAACAATATACTTTTTTTAATCCAGTGAATAGTCAGAATGGCTAAAGTTGACTGGACTAATAAAACATTTCTGGGCAATAATATAATCTTTTTAACAATTCAAGCAATATTTTGAAGAGAGAAAGTGAGTGAACTTAAATATATATATTTGGAGCTGGGGTCCGTTCCTCGTACCTCGCTTAAATTATCTAAGATGATTTAACAGTTACTTAATCTTTCAATCTTGATAACTGATCTCTGGCTAATTTGGTTCTTCCATCAAGTTTGTTAATCAGATTAAAATGTCTGGGTAAACTGATCTGAGATCACTTTGTGTGTTGTGAAGGACAGATCTATCGTCCTCTAAATCATGATCAGCAATGTAACAATTGGCTGACGGCACAGTAGCGTAATGACATCATCTGATTAATATTTAAATATCCATGTGAGCAAAATTATGTGAAATTCGTAGTAAACGGTTTGTTGAATATGACACGCATTAACTTTCCACTTTGTTGTGGGCTGCAGGCTTTACACTTTCATGTGTCTAGAGTATTTAGCAATTAATTTAGTTTTACATTTATAGGGGATTTTCTTTATTATAGTAGCCTAGGCATATTATTATTCCTTAAAAAAACAGTAGAGTAAAAAAACAGGGAACTACCATTAACCAATTAACTGGATTATACAGTTTTTTATTGTTAAAATTGCGATAGATTTTTACAGTGCCTGTGTTCGTTTACAGGAATGAACTCTATATTTGTGTATGTTGGTCACTCTCTGCTGGGCTCGTACTTCCCCTTCAGTTGGGAGATGCGTTTTCAGGACAGTCACTGGGAGCCGCTTTTCCAGAACCTGTGGGCAACTGGACTTTGGGTCTTCATCTCGTATCTACTCTACCGCAAAAAATTTTTCCTCAAAATCTGATGCTGCAAGTGTTTTTGTCTCATGAAAGCATTTATATACGTTAAGTGTTAGTTATTCATTTAAATTATTTATAAAACACTCTATAAAATAAAGGTTCTAAAACTGATTTTGCAGTGATGCCATTAGCCATGTTTCCACTGTCGCACCTAAACTGAGTGTCCACAGTCACTTCCGGGGCCTGAACAGGCCAAAACATGGTTTTCTCTGGGCTAGCAGCCTGAGTACAGACGCCAAAAAATTAATAAATAAGAGAAAGAAAAAAACATTGTAGCTGGTCAGTTTAATATATTTCAAAAAACACCCTATAGACTATATGCATATTTAAAAAGAATTGGTTCCAAGGTTACATTTATTTTTTGAACTCATCAGTCTCTTCCTGTTTGTAAACCTGAGTTTGGTGTAATCCTGTGTTCAATTAGTTAATAGACATGAGAAGGGATGAGATTTACTGTCTTCTGTGGACACCTGCAGTGTTTTATTTGATGTCAGTTGTGTTAAGACTTGAACGTAGTGATTAAATCAAATTCGCTGAAGTGGTACTTAACAAATTAGAACAAGCGATGCTACCAGTCGAGGGGTAGTCGTTATATATGGGTTGCTATGGTCAAACCCCCCCTCAGCGCTTTGAGACAGAGAGAGTGGGTACCATCTGCTCCTCAACTGACAGCCCTTTAATAGGGGTCAAGCTGGACGGCTCATGAGGAGCGTTTCTAGAGCCAGCACTTTTCATGCTCACACTAATGCGAAATCAGGAAAATTACACCAGAGGATCTTATGCACATACGGAAACTGCCCAAAAGAAAAACACGTTTTTTCCTGTTTAGTCATGTTCATGAGGTCAAATAAGTCACTGCGATTTTTTTTTTTTATAAGATCCAATGGTCATTTTTACAAAAAAATAAAAAAAGACAAGCGATTTACACCTTGAGTTTAAATGTATAGTTCACCCCAAAAAATGAAAATTCTGTCATCATTTACTAATCCTCCAAAAAATCTCCTTCTGTTGAACACAAAGGAGGATATAATGAAGAATGCTGGAAGAAAACAGCATTAGCTATGTTTACATCCAAAGACACGATTTAGTTTTTTGCGCAAAACTTAAATATCGCATAAAACCTTTTGCGAATGTGTACTTTTTCACCTTTTCAGTTCACGAATCGTGTGTTTCCAATGAGTCATAGAAAACGAAATAGTCACTTCCTGATAAACTGGCGTCAAATATCAAAGAAGAATTTACTGCGATAGGACTTTTTTCTTATATAATAAGAAAAGTGCTATTTGCATCTCAGAAGATGAAGACAAATTGCAATGAACATGCGCTGACTTTTGTGGGGGCAAGATCACAGGGTGCAAGAGTCCTGGGAGATAATAATGCCGAACCACTTTGATGACAGACTTTGGCTAAAGGGTTTTAGAACGACTAAATGAGTTTTAGTCTGTTTTTTTTTTTAGTCTGTGACTGTTTTCGGTAAACAGGTGGACAATAGCTGGCCTTTTGTCGCTGTGACCAAAAGCATTTTCTGCTCCTGGACAAACTCAAAATATTTTAGATCTTTTTAGATTTTTATTACACCTGACCTTGTGAATGGATTGACAAAACTGTGAATTACAAAAGTGAATAAGGAGAAAATGATATTTATTACAGAGTGAACGTTTCCTCTAGTTTTTGCATAATCATGGACAATATATATTGCTGAAATATTACAAAATAGATTTATTAAATTGTTAACATAAAAGTCTAATTACCTTATGTCTTTGGATATGAAAAGTTATTCATTTAAATTCAAATTAGTTGTTGCAAAATAACTACAACCTACAACAAATTAAGCTAAATCTAATATTTTATAAGGCCTCTACTTGATTTGTCCTGTTTTATTTTATTTTATTCGCATCTATTTGATTCCATTCTATATTATTTGATTATATTTTATTTGCTATTCCATTGGATTTTATTCTATTTAATTTTATTTTTATCTGTTTAATTTAATTGTACTGTATTGTATTTTATTCTATTCTAACATATTCTTAAGGATGTACACATTTTTGCACTATGATCTTTTATTAGAATACTTTATTATTTACTATATTAAGCCAATTTAAGTTCAATTCAAATCAACAGTAAACTGGGCCAGTTGGCATTTCTGTGTGGAGTTCACGTGGGTTTCCTCCAGGTGCTCTGGTTTCCCCAACAGTCAAAAGATATGCACTATAGGTGAATTGGGTAAACAAAATTGGCTGTAGTGTATGGGTGTGTGAATGTGAGAGTGTATGGGTGTTCCCCAATACTGGGTTGCAACAGGATGGACAATCACTGCATGAAACATATGCTGGAATAGTTGGCGGTTCATTCTGCTGTGGTAAATCAGGAACTAAGCTGAAGGAAAACACACTTAAGATGTACTGTAAGTGCAGTCATGATCAGGGTAATCATGTTTTCTTTTTAAATTCAAATCACTCAATATTTGCGGCAAAATATAGTTTAATTAGACAAACGGCTCTCATTTTCAATGCCAACATTTCAGAGTATGATATTAATATTATGTGTTGATATTATTTTTAGACCTACCAATAAATTCAGTCAGAAATTAGCCATCTCCTGACTTTAGTACTTCCACAGCAGAGGTTAGAAGTGTCTAAAAGCATCAGCAAATCTGTCTGTAAGTGCTCAGAAGATGGGAATCTATCATGATGTGAAGATTTAATCTCAGCGGTTTCTCAGAAAGGGCTTTTTGCTGATCTCAAACAGTGTGAACAAACAGGCTTAAGTGTATTGTCAACATAGCAGATGTGTTTATCCTCTATTCGTTGAAAACAATGCACAGTTTTTTTGTATCGTCAGAGCTGTGTATTTGCAGCACATTTCTGATCTTCTGAAGCATGCGAACCTGTTCACTCTGCATGGAATTCAATTGAACCCTTTCTCTCTGTTAGTTAATGAGAAAGCTTTTCATTTGGAGGATCGTGTTACCCATTTGAACTAAGTAGAGCCTATGAGTGAAGCAAACTGGTCAACTGATTTTTGGAATGGACTAATGACTAGCGTTGCTCTATACTCCAGGTCCCTGTGGGAATATATGGACTTCAGTTAAGAGCTGAAGCTTTATCCACTGCAGTAAGCACTTTTTGAATCAATATTTTATTAATCATGTGCTTATCATCATTATTATTTAATGCAAGCCCTATAGATGCAATGTTATACCGCAGAGAGCAGCTTTGATGTAAACAATGCTTTCCTGTTGTTTACCTATTAGAATCTTTTGAGCAGAATCTGATGTTAAAAAATGGTGATCTTGTCTACTAAACGACAAGCTTTCATCTGAAAATGGTCTTGTCAAGCAACCGCATTAAAAAGGAACTCATGCGGTGGTGTATGTCATGAATCTGCCTATGCATTTCTTTATCTATATTGATTCACATTGACCGTATGCCTGAAAATACCACTGTGTGTCTGGTTTGGAGTAACCCGAGCTTGTGTTAATCTGCATCGTGTATATGGTTATGAGCCTACATGAACTGCTATGAAACAAAACCATCCTGTGGTTAATATGCAGAGTAAGTGAAATGTTTATACGGCATAACAAGCAGCTCACGATCAACTACAAAGGTGGAGCCATCTTTGTATTTTATGGCCCTCGGTCATATAAGGCATATTTAATGTTGGACAGGAAATGAAAACGGCTTTGAGAAAGAGAAGTACAATGTTCAGTAGACAATAGTTTATCAACGTAGCGATTGTTAGGCTGACAAAATGTCTTCATTCAGATGACAAAACTCAATGAAAGAGTTTTAAAAAATTAATTAATTGTGCATACTTTACTATGCCCAGCAGGCACAGGACGTCAACATGATGTCAGATTGACATTGTACCCCATTGTCATGGGGATGTTGTATGTTGTTTGGAAATGAAAATTGGGTTGACGTCAATGTCCATTGTCCAATCTAAAATCAACCAAATGTCAAAGTCTAATAATGTTACAGCTTGATGTTTTGTGGACATTACCACCATGACGTCTATCAGATGTTGGATTTTGGTAGCCATACCTGACTAATAAATGTCAGTATTTGACGTCAATATGACGTTGGATTAATATGTTGGATTGACGTTGGATTTTGGTCACTTTCGACCAGAACCTAAAATTAAACAAATATCAAAGTGATTTGATGTTGTTATTGGATGCCAAAAAAACGCTGACCTTAGACGCTGGCTAGATATTTATTTTTGGTCACCTGATGTCTCAACCTAAATCTAACCTGATATTAACGTCTTATGACGTTGTGTGCCTGCAGGATGGTAAGTGTTGTATATTTCAATTAGGTTAACCCATAATTGTTTGTATTTAAAATTCTAAACAGTCTGAGTCAAAATCCCTTTTAACGCAAATCATTTCTCCAGGCGGCCATCTTTAAAACGTTTTTGTGTTTGATTTCTGTTTGAATAAGGAAACATTATTTTCTCCTAAACTACTTGCCAATCTCACGATTGAATTTCATATTAAACATCCCCAATTGAAATTAAACAACAACTGTCTCTTTAGTTTCATTTCTAAACGTCTAAGTCACACAATATCTGTCTCATTTTAGAGGCTGCATCCTCCGAAGCATGCATTTGAAGTGCGCTGCGTCATTGAGGCGCGACAAAGGTGGTCTCATTTTAAAAAAATCTGAAGGCTCCTTTAAACGCATCCTCCAAATGCACCCTTTGTTTCCCAGTTAATGAAGGACAGCCGGTGGATCCTTCAAGGCCTCAAACGTCCCAAGATTTATTGCGTGCTGATAACGGCAGGTAGTTTTTAAAAGAAAACTCCAGTTTAAATGCATGGATTAGGTTTAATTTAAATGGATATGTAAACACATGTTAAAAAACAAAAAGACTATGACATGTCTTACGAAAGAGTGATTTTATAGACAGTTTACATGTTTGTGTGTACATGTATGGATCAAAAGAAATATATTTCCAGCTTCTGTAAACCTTGTTTTGCCTTTAGATTGCTTAAAATAAGTTTTAAAATCACTTTGAAAAAAGTCATTACAAATTATAATACCGCTTATTAATAGCAGCTGTTACGGTTGCTAGGTGGTGAGATCTGTCCTCTATATGCTAAATCGTCTCATTTCAAAATGCTCGGTTCAGCCTGTGTGGACTTCGAAGGACTCACCTTTGAAGTCTGCATCCTTCGGAGGATGCAGCCTCTAAAATAAGACATCTACTATCGGCAGGAACTTTTTTCAATTTCAAAATTGTAGGTTGCTCTCCACTGTATAAAATTAGTAGCATGTTTTGATCAACTCAATCATGAATACTAGCACTTTCTGTTCTATTTTTCTGTTTATCTATTTAAATCTATATTATTGTATGTTAACTGGGTCATTGCACTTAAAAAGTTTGATTGCTTGGCATGCTTGCTGTTCTCGAGCTATCTTTTTCAGGGCTTCTTATAGACCTAATGATTTTTTATACTGTACAAACTGTATATTCTGTTCCACCTACCCCTAAATCCTATACCCTCAGAGGAAACAATCTGTCTTTTTTTACCTTTTCCAAATATTGAGGATGCTCCGATTGATCGGCCGGAGATTGGTATCGGCCGATAATCTCATTTGATGTCTCAATCGGTACTCGCTGATCTGGCCGATCTAATCGCAAGTGTTTGTGTTTGTTGGACATGAGCAAAATATTTGATTGATCTTGCATGTATCTAAGTCTTTTTATAACTAAAAGTTCTGTGTTTTTGATAATATTGCAAGTTCACTAAAACCTGGCTTAAAATATTATATACAGTTAAAAAAAAAAACTTTTTTAAAGATGAATATTTAATAGCATAACTTGAAAAGAAGTAATGGATTCATAGGTTTGCATTTTAACTTTTTATTTAATAAATATGCGCTCCAAACTTTTTTTTTTTTTTGATTGAGACATGTTGTTTCCAAATTGCATTGTTAGTCATTTTTCTCTTTTTTTTTTTTTTGTTTAGTTTACTTAATTTTTTTGTTTGTTTTTTAACATTTTCACACCTAAATGGTTATAAGAGATGTTTAAGCATCCTTAATTTATTCTCTTTGGTATGGAGAGATCTCTGCTTAGTGAAGTTTATTAATAAACTAATTTCGAGAGGATCATGTGCTAATGATTGTTACGACTGGTCCCGCATCAGCTAACGTATGATTCACCAATCAGATGATTTCTAACTTATTATAAATAACCAAAGAGCCTTACCTTAGTCATCTTTGTCTTGAAGAATCCCCCTTTCCACCCCCTCTGCCCTTTTTCTCTATAGAGCAGCACGGCGGCCCAGTGGTTATGACTGTTGCCTCACAGCAACAATGTCTCTGGTTTTGGTCTTCGGGGGGGTTACCTGGCTTCAAACTCCCATCTCGATGATCTTATAAGCTCAGGGCTCTCTCCCGGGAAAGCAGGTCAAACAAGCGTTATTATCAATCATCAGCTAAGTGTGAACTTTTGAAAGTATTATAAAGCTTAAAACACCAGAATTGGTACTCTTTTTTGGCAGATCAACATGACAAAGAATTGGTACTCGGTATCGGCTGCAAAAATCCTGATCAGAGCATCTCCACCAAATATTTCATTCTGTCTGATTTAGGAGTAGTTTTTCCTCATGGGGAAGCAAGAAATGTCCCCGCAAGAATAAAAAAGTACTGGCATTTCTATTCTTGTGGGGACATCCCAACAAGTAAGCAAAACAAGGTATACACACACTAAAACTGATTAAATCAATTAACTATCGAGTAACTTTCATTGAATAAAGTCATCAGGAATAGAATACAAAACTGGTGCTACAAACTTAAAGTCCAAGAAAGACAGCAAACCTGACGGCAAACAATATATTAAGACTGGCTGCGTGATTGCCAATGCCTCACCTTTTTTTTTTTTCTTTAACATTTTTATAATTCAATAGTTTATTTCTGTAATATCCCATATTTTTTGTGAATGTAAAATGAATAATAATAATTAAAAAGTTATTTTGTTATTGGGTGCCCTGTTTCTCTTATGTGTACCTCCACTATAGTTTCATTTGGCATCCATCAGGGCAGACGTTGATTGGAGTGATTGCCCTGTGATGCACTGCTGGGTTGCCCTAAAGGCAGAGTAATGCATCATGCTTACCCCTCCTCACAGAGAGCTGAGGCGTCCAAGAGCAGCCATAAACAGACAACCGGCCTCAAACTGTCTTCAGCTCACAGCAACCCTCCAATACTGCTGTTCTGATCATTTCTTAATATGAAAGGAACAATAGTCTTTGGTGTGGTTTGTACTTAGAATGCCATGTGGCTGTGTTTGTTGAGCATTGTGCTTGGCACCTGATTCATATTAAACTGTTTTTGGGGAACAAATAAAACGTTCCTGCAAGGAGAGTTCATTTACTTCTTCTGTTTATTTTATTGTGAATTAGTTTGACAAATCTTATTTCTCCATTACAGAGAAGCACAAAATCACTTTCAAGAGTCTTGTCCTTAACTGTTCCTGGCTGGTGAAATGATCTTTGTAACCCTCATCCAAACCTGAATCCTTGACAATATTCGAAAGACACTTGAATTAATTAATATACAAAACAAAATAAATACATTTCCTCATCAATTTTTACTATTTATTACAGCTATTTATTGATTCATTTTACATTCATAAAAAATCCCTTTATTAATCCGGGGTCGCCACAGCGGAATGAACCACCAACTTATTTAGCACATGTTTTTACGCAGCAGATGCCCTTCCAGCTGCAACCCATCTCTGGGAAACATCCATACACACTCATTCACACACATACACTATGGACAATTTAGCCTACCCAATTCACCTGTACCATATGTCAGTATAGTGATACCAGTACATTTTTGTTCTGGGGACGTTTCTTGCTTCCTCATGAGGAACAGTGACTCATAACTCAAATGGTTCTAAACTTTTATTGACTATATTCTGAAATGCTGAAGTGCGCTCATTTTTGCGATTGTTAAAGAACTTCCCGATTCAGTTCCTGTGTGAGAAATTACTATGAATGGCAGAAGGCGGTCAGAGTACTTGCTCAACAAACAAGTGTGTTCATGACTATACATAAAAAGTATAATAATATAATATTAGTTTGCAACATTAAGCAGCATAACAAGCTATTTTTAATGTCTAAAATTGAATGGAAGTAAATAAGACTGGAAGTCTTGAGCTAAAACGATTTAAATGCTGGCTTCTGCTCGTATACATGAAGAATAAAATCAATACAATTTTGTTATAGTTGTTGAACAATATATTCTAAAGAATGTTGGGGGAAAACAGCTATTGCCATCTTCTTTTTTAATTCTTCAGAATATCTTGTTTTGTGTTTTAAATAGGAAAGTAACTCGTACACATTTGGAACAAGTGGAGGATGAGTAAATGACAACAGAATTTTCTTTTTTGGGTGAACTATCCCTTTAACTGCACCCTGTTTTCACTTTTCCCTAAGTCCTTTTCATTTTTATGTACGTAGATACAAGAGTCTGTTTAATTATTATATGTGAATGAGCATTTTTGAAGAAGAGAGCGGCTAGTTACACATCATTTACTATATTGACATGTGAAGACTTGGCTTCAGAGCTCATTTTCACTGTTATTGACGAGGAAAAAATACATAGTTCATGTAACATATATTGATCTTGTGTGAAAACATGACCCCAAATCATCATGCTCTCATGCTGCTGTATAAGATGTCAGAATTAAACACTTTTTTGTTGTTGTTGTTGAACATTAAGACATTTCCTTTTTTTAAAAATCGAAATGTTATATTGTGTTAATTACCTTATAATTAATATAATGCAGTTATAGTTTTTTATAGGCATGTATAGGCATATATTAACTTTCTGAAGAATTTACTTATAGTCCAATTGTCAATTTCCCTATGTGACAGCAAGCTGAAGTGTAGGCATTAATGCAGTTACTGATTATTGTAAAGGCTACAGATTAATGATACTATAAAGTTAAACAGTGTTGCTCTTTTACACTGCAAGGGAATCGGTATATCTAAAACTATTAATTCTTAATAATATGACAGGTAAGGGGAAACCAGAAGTCACACTGGAGACACCTTTAACGAGCACATTATTTGCATGTCCTCAAAATTTCGTTTTAATTCAGGAAGAAGTCTTGGGCTCATTGGAGACCCGCTGATGTGATTCAGGACATAAACACACATCTGAGGAAATTGGCTGGATGAGATGTGAACCTCCCCCTGCTGTGCTCTCTCTCTCTCTCTCTCTCTCTCTCTCTCTCTCTCCCTCCCTGTGTGTGTAAGAGAGAGTGAGCGCGCGCGCGCGGACGGTCCAGCAGCTCGCGCCGCAGTCGCCCGTCAATGGGACACTCACGTTGAGGACTTTCGTGGCTCCTTTCGCTCGAATCAAAACAAGGCAAAGTTCTGTTGTCAGGAATCAAAATACTTTTACCTGTTCGTTGTGACATTACACTTATGATTGACAATTATGGGAAGTACGCGGGGAATCGTGTGGGGAGTGCTCCTGCTTCTCCTGTCTGAAGGTAAGGGTTTATACTCCATAATAGCCTGATGCCCTCGCGCGAACTGTCCGCTCTTTAGCCATCACTGTGTGGGATAAACAACTGTGTTGAGAGGCAGAGCTGGTGAATGACTGTCTAGAGACTGTCACACTTGTCGTATTTTAACTTAAACTGAATTGTCGCCTTTAGTGAACATCCTTTAGTAACCAGTGACAACACGGGGTTGTGTGTCAAAACCCTGGAAAGCAGCCTACATAGACTGCATGTTGCTTCTCAGATGAAATGGTTTCTCATTTCTGTTGTCTTAATTTTTATACAACATTCAAGAAACCCGCAAATATACTTTCATAATCTTCATTCATTCATTTTCTTGTCGGCTTAGTCCCTTTATTAATCTGGGGTCGCCACAGCGGAATGAACCGCCAACTTTTATAATATTCAAAGTATAAATTGTTTTTTTATATATAACTGGAGGGTCCTTTAATGAACCCAATGTTCAGAAAAATAACCTGTTCGAGGGTGTAGATGGGAAGCTCGCAATAGGTTTTAAGACAAAGCCATGGTCCAAACAATGAATATAAGAATTCATAGCATAAGTTTTTCTACTTGTTTTTGCTTTGGATAATTTTATAAGTCATTAAATATATATTCGTATTTGAGGTTTCAGTTTATATGAATTTTATTAATCTATAAATACCGAAACGCAGTAAATTAAGAACATTTTGCAAATGTTTTGTCTACTGGTTTTCTTTCTCAAAGACATTTTTAAGTGATGGACAAACTTTTATTCTGTTTAATTATTAAAAAGTTATTGATAATACTTTAGCAATGGTTCAATAACAAGTTAAATTTGCTTCCTGGAAACTATGGATTTAATTTAATTATGTAAACAATTATGTTTAAGTGTACTTGGGGTGTTATTTGCCATGTTTAAGCAAAACTGGTTTCAAAGTGAACCTAAACCCTACTTTTCAGTGTAATAAAGGCAAATCATTTTTACCATTTTATATTTAGTTATAATAATTTTAAGTTGTGTTTCATTTTGCATCATGTTTTAAATGTAACTCTGCTCAGCAGACAACAAAGAGTTCATCTGTATATCCATGGGGTCTGCATTCGGTCCCTAAACACAGACAACTGAGCGCTTCTAGAGAAATTGACCAGACAGTTTCATAGTGTCAAAGACAAAATATGTACAATCCTAATGTACCACATGGTCCATGCTAGCAACACGCTTGTGTCCATACATCAATATATTATAATCCCACTTAAAACCCCTGTGCCCAACTGTACTAACACACATCTCTCAAAATAACTGCAGATAACTAGAGTTGAACCCGTTCCTGAATAGATCCTAAATCTCAGTGTGTGGTCAGCTGCATTAAAAAGGAATGGTTGCATCGTGACAGCTTGAATACAGACAAAAGTGGAGCATAGCAGAGGTTTCACAGCTATTCCGGTCATTCGGAAGACATTTGGCAGTGTGTGAATGCAAAAGTGTTGCATTTGTCTTTGTTAGTGGATGGCAAGGATGATGTTAACTGAATGAATATTACTTATGAGTCAAAAAGTAAGAGAACAACCAAAGATGCTTTCAGATGTTAATTTAATCTTGCAGTCTAATAATAATGGGAAATTGCATTTTAATGGTCATGTGGACTCATCATGTAGTCAGCTGCCTAATAAACCCAATAAAATCAGATATGCTGCAGTTTTTTTCCTGAGCAACTTAAATTGAATCATTTCGCCTTGCAAGGTGCATTACAGTAGATCAAGATATTACTAGATAAATGTATATACTGCGTTGTTTGTCATGATTGAATGAGGTTTTCAATGCATATTAAAATGATAGTTAATCAAACATTACTCACTTCCAAAGCTTTATAATTGCCCTTCTTCTAATGAAACCAAAACAAAATATTTTAAAGAAAGATGAAAACCTGTTACCATGACTTCCACAGTAGGAAAAACAAATACTGTGCAAGTCAATGGTGACAGGTTTCCAACATTTTTCAAAATATCTTCTTTTGTGTTCAACAAAAAGAAACTCATGAAGGTTTGGAACAACTTGTGGGTGTACATGTACTTAATCTTTGTTATCTGATAAGGTGATCATGATGACATGTAACCTGCACTGAGACTATGCAAGTTTATGCAGAATCTATCAGATATTTGATATGATAATGATTCTGTGAAATTCTTAATAATGTAATTAATTTTTTTTATTACTTTTTAATCATTTTGTAGAAAGCTGAAAACCTGTAACCGTTGACTTCCATAGTAGAAAAAACAAATAGAAGTCAATGGTTACAGGTTTCCAACATTTAAAAAAAAAAACATCTTTTGTGTTCAACAAGAAAAAAACTCTTGCAGCTTTGGGGCAACTTGAGGGTAAGTACATAGTAAGTTTAAATGAATGGTGAGCTATAAAATAAGCTACAAAAATATGTAGATATGTGTAGATTACTTAAGAACTTTATGGTACTGATTGCAAACTGCATCATGAAAATTGTAGCCAGTAATCTAGTCTAAATTTCTAATTTAAATAATGTAATCTGATTACTGGGAATACTTTTTGATTACTTTCAACTTGTTTACTTCTTTTAAAAATTGGTTTCCAAACTCAAAAGCTTGGGTTCACAAAACTGATTTTCCATGCTCATGTCAATTTTCAAAGCCAAATAATGCTTTGATAATCTACACATATACAGTAGAATTCTTTTTTATAAAGGAAATTGTATTAGAGAAAAATAGAATCTCTTAAAATCAATGAATTATGAATAAATGACATTGCGTGAATAATTTGTAAACATATTCTATAAAAGATTATTTAATTAGATTATAAACAGTTTAAATGCTATATATTGAAATTACATGTACTTAATTTTTGATTATCTGATGAAGTAATCTAGATTACATGTAACCTGCACTGAGAATATGCAAGTAAATGCAGAATCTAGCAGATGTTTGATATGATAATGATTCTGTGAAATTGTTAATAATGTAATAAATTTTTTTCATTACTTTTTAATCATTTTGAAGAAAGCTGAAAACCTGTAACCATTGACTTTCATAGTAGAAAAACAAATAGAAGTCAATGGTTACAGGCTTCCAACATTTTTGGAACTTGAGAGTAAATAATGAGTTTAAATTAATAGAGGGTCACACTTTAATTTGATGGTTTGTTGAAGTTCAGTTACACTGCATCTACATACCAACCAATTCTCATTAGATAAGACTAAGACTTTGGTTGGAGTTGAGGTTAGGATTAGGGTTGGTGTTAAATGTCTTGAACATCTGTATTGACAGATATTAAGCAGACAGTCTACTAATGCTGAAATGGACCATCAAAATAAGGTGGTACCTAATGGTGTGCTATAAAAGAATCTACAAAAATATGTAGTACATGTAGATTACTCAAATGAAACATAGAATCTGGGAAAATCAATTAATTGTGAATAATAAAAATAAAGAGCATGAAGTTAGGTTATAAGCATTTTAAAATGTAATATCAAATTACATGTGCTTAATTTGATTATCTGATTAAGTAATCCAGATAACATGTGACCCGCACTGAGAATATGCAAATAGAAACAGAAACAAACACATATTTGATAAGATACGCGCATGATTCTGTGAAATTATTAATATTATAATATACTTTTTTTAATGACTTTTTAATCATTTTGAAAATAGTTGTGGCTTTATATTTACATATAGTATATATTTACATATATTAATTGTTCTATCCACAATGACCGTTTAATTTTTCAATGTAAATTTACATTTGAATTGACCATTCTCAAATCAAACTTTTAGAACTGACCTTTTTTTTTTATGTGTGCATGAATATAATGTTGTGAACCAGGTGGTAAAGAAAAATACGATTAGATTTGTTCCTGCTGAACGGCTCTTGTTTTAACCTTTGTTGGAGATGATGCGGAAGCACCTTGATTCTTTGCCGTGAGGAAAAACAAAAGCCTGGAGCCGAGAGCTGGTCAGAGGGCAGGTGTGCAGCAGGTGTGCTTCGCTCTGGGCAAACACAATGTGTTTGTCTTCCGAAAGGAAAATACTGCCAGTAAAATAATAGAGTACACAGCTCTGATAACAGATGAGGCTTAAAACCCCTCATTAAAGACACAGGATGGTTGGCAGAGCCTCCTGCAAAATGGATCTCATCTCTTTTATGACAAGCCATCCTATGAAAATGGATGATGACAAAAGCAATGGGTTTTGTCCATGACGGGGACGCATGTAATAATCGCGTGTGTCTGTCTGCTGTCGGCACACTTGCTTTGATGGTTTGACATTTAAACTGCAGTGTTTTGCAGTATTTCACAGTTGTTTGTCCTTGAACGCATCATCGGTATAGTGTAAAGAGCAAGACCTCTTGTTTGTTTTTGATAAGAGCTCATGTTTTCCTGCTTGACTTTTATTTGTTTATTTATTTGTGTCCCATGAAAGATAGTAGCTATGAAATATGTGGTAGACAACATGAAAGATAGTAAGTATTATTTGATTAATCAATTGAACTGTAAATGTTATCATCTAAGCATTTTCGGCAATAGATGCTGCATTAAATGTGCATCACAGTAAATGACTTTAGGTACAGTAAGGTAAGTGGAGCCTTTTAAAAATAATTTTCACAAAAAGGTTTTTCTCTCATTTAAGTAATTTTATTCTGCTATTTCTTGTGGTTTTATTAAAATATTTTGGATTTTAAGTAATAAAGCAAAATAATGTCTTAAACAATATAACATTTTTTACAGTTTTAACAGTTTTAAAAACATTTTGAGGCATACATTTTAAAACCACTTTTTGTTTATCCCTTTTATTTATATGTTATTATTTATACACTTCATTATAAACACTTAACTTATCATAATTCTACTGTACTAGTTATTCAATATATGCAGTACAATTATTATTATTATTTTTTTAAATGGGACATTCTACCAGAAACAAACATTACCTGTCTCTGACATAAAAACATAAGTAGAGAGACGAAAATATTTCCACCA